TCGAAGCCTTTTTTCACTTTGGAAACACCGATGCGCGCAGTTTCTTCATCTCAGTCGCACTAGTTCCGATCTTGTCTTCCATTTTTCAATTTCAATTCTTTCAATTTTTTCAATTCAATTTTTTTCAATTTTTTTTCAAGAATGCTACACAGTTCCGCTCACCGTGGAGCCCTACAGAGCGTTTAATCGAAAATTTGAAAAGCTCAACCTCCAATTTTTCGCCCTGGTAAAGTCTGGAGCTCACAGTGTTGTGCAGTAGATAATATTCTCCAGAACTAAAAAAAGGTCGACTGTTCCATTCCTCAGGTCGTACGACATTTCAATACTGATTCTTTTTTATAGGATGAATTTGGCCATGTGCCAATAACAAGCGACAGCGGCTCTCTGGACTCAGCAATAGCAAGTATGAGGCAGTCCATGGTCCCCTTAAGAAATAGGCCTGTACTTCAAAAATAGTACCATAGTTAGCTCCATAGTTCGCAAATCGTACGCTTGAGTTCAAGATGAAAACAACTGTATCGTATCGTATCTTTCGATATGCGAGGTATTCGTAAGGAAAGCGTGTCTTGCTCCTTAAGTAAAATCCTTGATATTCAGAAAGAAGATCCGTACTAATTAGAAAGTCTTCACACTCAACATTTCGCGAATGATCACTAATTGTGAATGATAGATACGTGCACTGAACTTGATCGTTGTATAGTCTTACGATGTCACCCGTAAGCGCAGGAGGCTAGACCGTAATTTTTTCTATGAAAACTTTAATTCCGAAAATTCACATTGTTGAAATCCTCTCAAAAACTTCCCGGGGAGATAAAAATTGTTTCACGAATTTCACTTCAAACTAGCACCTTCAGCATCGCTTTTCTACCTTCCCATTCGCTCGACCAACCAATTAGCTAAATATAACTGTTCTTAATGAGGCAGATGGTAAACGAGCTGAGCGGTTTCTACTGAGATTGTGTCACGCTTCCAACTTTTATTGATGAAGCAATTGTCACTGAAAATATTTTATGATCATTTTTTAGTAATTTCATTATCATATACCAGCCAGCTTTGTGGATTAGACGGCGCTCAGTCATCTTTCGTTCGGTTCTGAGATATGTTAGTTGCTCCACAACTCATTGTTACTTTCAACGGACGCTAGTGCTTACTGGCTATACATAATTATAATGAGAGAATCGCTAATGACGTGCCCTGAGGATCTTCAGCAAAGACTCCAACATTGAACTTTTCAAATTTTGCAGCTCACCGCTCTTTAGAGCTCCACGGTGAGTAAAACTGTGTAACATTCTTCTTAAAAAGTGAAAAGTAAACTAGGTGAAAGAGAGACGAAAAGACGAACCCTCGTTTTTTGTGGTTTTTGGAATAATTGAATTGGGTATTGTATTAATTGAGAGATGCTGCGGTGATGCGAACACCATCTGCGTTGACAGCAGCTAAGCCGCCGACTTTCCAATTGGTGTCGATGGCCTTGACCCTTATAGCATGTTGTAGGCGTGAATACATTTCGAATCATGGCCTCAGGAGCTATGATGGAGCGATGACTTCAAAGTTGAGCCGTTTCGAACTCACGGTTCACCGCTTTGTGAAGGTTGACGAGCTGAGTTGAACCATGTAACATTATACATAAAAAAAGTGAAATGCAACCTAGTCATAGAAAAAACGAAAAAACACGAACTCGGGCTTCATTGTGGCTTTTTGAACAATTAGGGTGGGTATTTTGATTTATGAAGTTTCTTAAGTTCCAGAGGAGATAATAAGTTCGGTCCATGATCGAACAATATTGTGGAAAAAATATTTTATATATTGAAATTGTATCTGCCTCGTCCGGACACAGTCTCCGTGGATTAAACGTTAATGTGTTGAAACATCCTATTATAATATTTCTACGTCAACGATGTTGGATATACAAAACAGATGAGCACCATACATAACTAAAGCATATAGAAATACTGATTTCATCTGCTTACTGTCCCTTCTGTACACTACAAATTGTCATGCTGGGTTGGATGAGCTGCTTGAGAGGTGAAGGTTCGTGTTTTGTTTGATGATCGGGTAGGGGTGTTATCAAGACTCGTATTTCGATTTAGTTGCGGACCCTGTAAGAATGCTGGTATGAATTTCGAGCATTAGTATGCATTGAACGTATAATATCGACTGCATTAGACACACGGATGACTGGTGGAAAACATCTCCCGTCGAATGCGGATAGGAACCGCCGAACTGAGGCGTTTCATCGAGGAGCGGCCGGATTTGTTCAGCAACGGATGATGTGTGTGATGGAGCTGGCACTCCCGAAGAATTCCTCAATCATTTAAATTCAGAACAGGAGCAGGAACACGAGAACAAACACACCTCAATGACTGAGTGCCGTCTTCGGTGCAGTCCATTTGACTTCCCCACATATCTTGACCAACTTTCGATGTTTGATGCTGCAAATAAGCAAAGAGTTCAGAGGTGTGAGCAGCTAGAACCTAATCATTTTTACAGTAAGATACACGGCTCCCATGCATGCGCAAATTTGTATAGATCTGAAAATACGGACATTTTCATACGTTGGTCAAAAAAGGAGTAACTATTAGACAGAAGTGCCAGAAATCATGTGGACTGACGCTTCCTTATATTGACGCGTCCTCTTCAGAAGTTTGATTCGGAACAATTATTCGAAATAGTCTTTTCAGTGGATACTTTCAAATCAATGGACTTTAAAATGAACCGACACAATGATGCTATTGAAAAGAATACAATACAGGATGTCCTAAAACTATGTGCGCCAAAATCCAGAAATTTTAAAGGTAGTAATAATCTATCAAATTCACATTAACTGCTACTAATTAGTTGCGTAAGAAGGCTCCCTTGCAATATGCATGGCTACTGATGTGGAACTCACAATATCTTTTAGATGGAAGAGACTCATTCAGTGCCACTTGCAAGCATTAACACGCGAGAGGTGGAAGGGCAGTATGAAATCCTCTGGGATTTTTATATTAACCGTATAGGAGGCTATCAAACGATATAGAAAAGAAGACTGAATCAGAGACAAATCAAGGTTTCTGAAGATAGGACTATTAAAATGGTCCTGTCGGTCGTGATCTTGGGTGACTCATAAAAAGGAAGTCAACGGGCACGGCCAATCGGGGTTATCGCGATGGAAGGATGTCATTCAAAAGCTTCATTGCCACTCCTATCATTTGCAGAAATTCCGCCTCATTTCCGATCTCGGCAGACACCGCAGGGCCAAAAAATGCAGAAAGTCGCAGACCCACTTGAGTGATAACACGCTACCCTTCATCGTTTTCTCTGGCCGAAAAATTTTTTACGATAAAACCATCCCTCAACAACCAAAACATTCGCGTTCCCGAAAGAAAAATCTAGCGTGCAATTTTTCACAAAAAGATTGCTACACGAACAGTAATTGAAGAAGTTACTGGCAAGGGTGGGACGCTCGTGCCGGTGCAGCCGTGAAAATTGACCAAGACCAGTGCTCAGAGAGCGTACTTAATAAAACCCTGGTCCGACTACGTTTCCTGAAACATCTCGAAGTCCTTCCAGCAGGACGCTACCAGCCCACAGAGCCAAGCTTCCCCGCGAGTGGTGCCGACGACAGCTGCCCGACTTTATCGGTGAAAAGTGATGGCCATCCTATTTTAACCCTTTGGCGACCACGCCTTTTACATTGTCCTTACATTAGCTTTTAATTTCTCTTATAACTGTAGTTGGAAGTGAATGATTTCTAGACCACGATGCCTCAAAATTCTCTAGAAGGTTGTGAGCTAAGCTGATACTTGAAAACGTGAAAAAAAATTATAAGAACGCTTGATAATTAATATAAATACCACAGGGGCACGATATGGTGGTATACACGATACCACAGGGGCCGGCGGGCCACGCGGGTTAAGGAACTTGACTCACTTGACTCTCCCGTATGGCCCTTGATTAGAAGAAGACCTGTCGAGTTTGCATTCCCACTGTGGAGTCCTAGTAAGTGTGAAGAAGGGCTGGGAAAATGAAGAAGGATACCTGAGTGCCACATGCGATCAGGTCGAGAGCGAACTTTAGGCCTCTATCCGCGCTAATGGGGGTATTTTGAAATGTGACCGTAGCGTGTTGTAGCAAATGGTGTTAGCTAACGTGCATAGGAATTCCATGGTCTTTCTCAGATGAGAGGCTTAAAACATATTGCTATGAATTGGCGCCAATTAGGGACCTCCTGTACATCTGATAAGCGATCTCCGCATCGAGATTCAAAGCTCCCTCAAGCCGAAGTGGCTTTCTCTGAAAGGACATTCCGATCAAAATTTAATATAGAGAAGATTACCAGAGTTTGTTCGACCACCATGGAATGGATGCTGGAAAAATATGAATTCCACAGCGAGGCACTTGGAAGTGGTGCTTTTTCCATTCCAACATATGTGTAAAGCGCTATCAGACTGGAATGCCCAAAGGTCTAAAGATTTCCAAAAAAAATCCATAAGGTGCACTCTGAAGGACCGATGATTGGCTGGAAAACTCAAATCGTAGCGGTATCGCTCTACTTATTATCAGGGACGGCAACATAGCAATGTAGACGATTTTGCATGGTGTATTGAGGCACCGAATCAGACACTTTTGTTTTTGTATTGTCCACGTCGCGTACTAACAAGGCAAGGATACTAGGTCGCAGTGGCCATTCAAGATGAGATGTAAACCGACGTAAGGATCTTCAAACACTGATCTCAAATCTGGATTCTAAAATCTCGGTTCTGCGAAACGTGCATAAAAATTCCATGATCTTTCTCAGTTGAGAAGCTATGAATTGGCGCCCATTTGGAGACACGGAACGGTTCTGGGAACAAAGTTACGGGCCCAGGTTCCTCAGGCATGTCACATCGTTGCTTTTACATGAGGAGCAAGCGGTGCTTAAACGTGCAGCGATGGCGCAGTTGGAAGGAGGACGGACTGATGGACATGACACGTAGTTTCGAGTGCTCGATGCATTTGCTTGTTTTGCTTTTTTATAAAAAGTGTCTTAAACGCTTGCAAAACCCTTCTACGCATCATATAGACTACTTACAGCCCTTTTTCAAATTTACGGAGCACCAGAAATGCTTACACAAGTGAATTTTTTCGTCGGCTCCACAGACCGATTGGGGAGGGGTGCACATAGAACCCTTCTGCTCCCGGCGCTCATGATGTGGTTGAGAAATTAAGCACCTCCATGCACTTCCAAAAGAGGGCTGTCGGAAGACTTGCCAACTATAGCGCTTTTTATGGAGTAATTCCCCTCTATGGGTAAAAGTGAACTGGTACAATTCAGCTGTCATTTTATGCTAAAATACTATCGGAACAATAGGTGAGCATCAACGGATATGATAATCCAACACAAAGTGTTTGAAGCAGAATAGCTTTTCACAATGCGAGCAACGCATGAAAGAAAGTTCACCACACCCCTAACTCTCACGGTTTCCCTATAATTGAGATGGGAAACAACATCCTACAGGAGCTTCGAATCCCCCAGGTCCCTATACAGGTACCCTGATGCAAACCATGAGTAAGAAAGGAACTTTTTGAATTTAGTTGCGCTAAACAAGAACACTGGTGAGATAAGACGAATTATGGAGTTGCGGTTGTTAACGTGGAAGTCCAGATCATTACGTTTATAAACGACTTCAAGTAGTAAGAAAAAATATACATCGAGAAGCTCAATTTGAGAAGTAGCTTCAGTTGGATGGTAGAGCACATTCACCACCATGCCAGCTGGCAAAGCACTCTGAATCGCTTCATGGTCCTTGAACGAGCTCCTTGAGTCGACGACCAGTAGGATTGAGGGCAAATCTGCTAATGATCTAACTCGAACAAGCATAAGTCCTTGGCCCTGATTGGCCCTGACCTTGAGTGCCGGGAGCAGAAGGGTTCTATGTGTATCCTCCCTACTCGGTCTGTGGAGCCAAGAAAAAATTCACTTGTGTAGGCATTTCTGGTGCTCCATAAACATGAGGGAGGGCTGTAGGTAGTCTATATGATGCGTAAAAGGGTTTTGCAAGCGTTTAAGACAGTTTTTATAGAAAAGCAAAACAAGCGCGTGCATTAAGAATTCAAAACTCCATGTCATGTCTACCAGTCCGTCATCCTCCCAACTACGCCATCGCTGCACGTTTAAGCACCACTTGGTTCTCATATGAAAGCAATGAAGTGACATAACACCTGGGAAAGCTGGGCCCGTAACTTTGTTCCCAGATTCGTTTCGCAGATTCGGAATTCAGATTTGAGATCAGCGTTTGAAGTTCTTTACGTTGGTATACAACTCATCTTGAATGGCCACTGCGCCTTAGTATTCTTCCCTTGTAAGTTCTGCCACCAAACGCATGAGGAAGAGTGTGACAAGGCTAACAACCGTACTTACGATTTAGACAAGAAAAATTGGGTTTGAGAGTAGACACTACTAAAAACAAGAATAAATGAAGGGCGGGCAGACAACCACTTCACTGCTCACGAAATGGCATAGCTTAATCGAAGTAAAATCTACAAGTTCAGCATATGCGTTAGATTGAAGGAAGTGAAGATGGCTGGAAGGAAATTAGTAGAAAAGCGAAGCGTATACCGCGTTATCAAGAACGTTCAAGCAAATTGATGACCCAATAACCTAGAGGGACATTTCACAGAATATTTTCACGATGGAGGAGAACAAATTGAAGCTGTCTCCAATCGGAATCAAATCCAATGGCAGACCATCTCATATCGAACATCGACAAGCTATCGTTTTTAGGATCGTAGTCTGGTCCGAAAAATATGTCTAAGCCAACTCTAGGGAGCTGAAATAGCGATCGAAAAGGAGTTCTACTGAACCTATGAAGAGGCTGAGAAAAATCACATCAACGTAAGGTCACCAGCGAAGGTTAGGCTAGATAGGAATTAGCAATCAGTCACAAATCAGTAAATTTAGCTCATGCATGCCCAGTGCGCAGCGCCCAGCATGAAAGGGGGTTCCATTTTCTGCTTAATCCTACTATAAGTGGGCGCATGTGTGTAGCATGTAAGGTATGATATAGATGGTGTGGTGTGGTATGGTATGGTATGGTATGGTATGGTATGGTATGGTATGGCATGGTATGGTACTAGGCGGCTACGCACGCTATAGCCATGAGAGACGGAGCCACATGAGCTGATTTTCATTATGGACCTTTATCCGATTTATGAGTTTCCACTCAAACCTCGCCTCCTGTGGGCGGAATCTGGTCCTGCCACCCACCATAAGTGTTCCCACCCTGTCGCCTGTACTCCTACCGAGTTTGAACTTTCTAGGTGCATGGAGACAGGAGTTACGAATTTTCGCACAAATCTCGCCCTCTGAGGGCGGAGCCTGGTTGTGCCATCTACCATAAGTTTTCCCATCATTCCGCCTGTATCCCTA